ATAGATAGATAGATAGATAGATAGATAGATAGATAGATAGATAGATATAGATGAGAGAGAGAGAGAGGGAGGGAGAGGGAGAGACTGACTTTCTATCATGTTTTACCTTTCACCCTTCCCTTCACTTGTATTTGTTTCAAGCTAAAAGACTCCAAGCCAGAAGAGAGCTGGTCTAAGCGTCACAAGAAAATAGTACACTTTCTGCAGCACCAGATATGGAAAGCAGACTGCTTGAAAGTAACATACAGGTAGTCCTCAATTTACGACCAGCCTTTTAATGACTATCTGGATTTCCAGTGGCCTCAGAAAGGATGCTTTATGGTCTGTAAAGCACTTCCAGCCATCGTAAAATGTTGTCCTGCCACTCTGGTCACATGACTGCATTTCAGATATTGGCAACCAGCTCACATTTGTAACTGGTTGTCAAGAGTCTCATGGCCAGGTGATCATGATTTGCAGCGGGGTTTTTTCTCCATTCGGAGAATGGATTTATATTAAGACTGTGTGGTTCACTTATGACTGCCCAAAAATGGTCATAAAATTGGGTCCAGTCGTATGGGTGCCTCAACATACAACCGACACGTCTCACAACTAAAATTCCAGCTCCAATGCGGTTGTAAGCCAAGGACTGCCTGTATAGTCCTTGTGACTAGTAGTCATTAATAGTCTCAGGCCCTGATGAGTATGTCTTTTCAAAAGCATTCCCATTTGTGGATAGTTCTTATGGCATCCATACTTCAATGCTGTGTGAATATGCACTTCCTTTTACCTATCCTGAGTTTCCCATCATTCAGGCTGAATGATTTTTCAGTTCCAGTCAGAGGTGGGATTCAAATAATTTAACAACCGGTTCTCTGCCCTAATGGTTTCTTCCAACAACCACTTTGCCAAACTGCTCAGAGAGTTAACAACCGGTTCTCCCGAAGTGGTGCGAACTGGCTGAATCCCACCACTGGTTCCAGTGTTATGAAGGAAAAAAACATTCCTACCTTTTATTATGTTATTCCTTCCTTTTCTTCACAATGTACATTACACACAAACACACACAGACACACACCTTAATTTTGGATGGGAGAAAATATGCTAGGCTGGAAGGTCAAGCAGCTGAAGAAAATAATGAGAAATTACTTCTGTATGGTTGCCACAATAATACGCACTTGTATCCTTGAAGTTTAAAGTCAAGGAATTCTTCATTTTACTATTCCTCTCCACTCATTTTTGCCCCCTAAGCTAAAAACTCAAATGTCATAACTTTTCCTGGTAATCGTCCTCTACTGCAGCCCCCATCCCATCCGTGGCCGGCTGTACAATGTTTTGGGGAGTTTGGTGACCAGAATTAGGCACAGCACATCAAGAATGATCACAGCACAAATCTATCAAAGCATTTTTATTATTATTTTGGATCTCTTTTTAACAAGCCATGTTATGAAAGGTGCTTTTTTTTTTTTTGCAGTATTTGTTCACTGATTGACTTTTGCATCAGTTTAGAAGTGACAACACCAAACACCTGAATACAATGCATGATCTTTCAGAAGTTCTCAGAGGAGGATAATAAAGCTAGCTGTTTGCCACCTTAGATTGCCTTACATTTCCTATTTCCGATTCCCGTACAGTTCTTACTGAATCTGCACCCTTGGAATTGTTATCCTTTTTGTCCTAGATTTAATACGAAACATGCACAACTGTGCCTTTGTGTATATATATATAAAGGACACACCAACTGAATGCCAAAATCAGCGGGAAGCAGATGAGGGATGGTAAAACTGATGCAATGTAGTGGCCAATCCACTAGAGGCGCCAGACCTTGGTCGCAGAGAGCCTAGTGAATCAGAACATCAAGACACTGTTTTTTCGCAAATTCAAAGGTACGCCAAACATGGGGTAAGTGGACTGATTTTCCAATGGGGGAGGGGGAGAGATTTCCCACTTTTGTTCTTTTCTCTTAGGACCAGAGAAAGGAAGCATGAGGTACCAACACCAAATCTCGTAAATAGCTCTCTTGCTCCGAGTGAATCTGGGGAGTGTGAGCATGATTAATGATGAGTGTCTGCTGGGAATTGTCTGTGTTGAGGGAAGATAATTGAGTCTCTATTTTGAGGTGATAGAACTACTGATTGGATTGCAAAATTAATTGGTGTTGTTTGAGGGGGAAGAATTGATTTCAGGAAGCTGATAGAGGAGCAGAGAAAATAAAGAAGAAAGATTAAGGATCTCTCTTTCTCTGTTACCATCTCACAACCTGCCTCTTTCATGGTCTTCACATCGTATGAGCATCACACAATTCAAAAGGGTATGGATGCCCCAAGTCAGAGAGGAATCTTCTATCCCCCCGGGTTGCAGGATTTTATCCTTTATTCAAAAAGCGTAGGGTAACATCGTCCAAGAAAAGGAATAGCTTAAAGAAAGTTCCTTAAGCCTTACAGCTTCCGCTTCCCAATAAGGCCAAGAATGATCAAGATGGATGAGGTTATAAAATGCTCTGGGGGAGAGATTACCAAGTGGCCATAAGGAGTCAGAGGGCATTGGGACATGGGCTAAAAGCATGACAATAAAATAACCAGGATTTATTCACCAAACTTGCTGCTCACAATACTGTGCAGATTTGAGAGTCAAATATAACTGACTATCATTATTAGATTTATTATCATTATCTATTCTTTGGAAAACAAGAAATAATAGCTTTACAGAGATAAATAATGATGTACTTTTCAAGATTATTGTAAGGAAGTAATACTCTTCCTTTAAAATTGGGGGAGGGGGAATGACATTATTCCAATGTCTTATGTTTAATTTGAAGCCGTAGAACATTGTTCTGATCCTGAGGAAAGCTGGCAGTTATACTTCTGCCACCAGTTGTATTAGGCAATATGAATAATGTTTTTCTAAAAATCCATAGTATTTTCTTTATAAAATTGAGCTTGTAGTTGTAAATTCTTACTTTTATTTTGCAGTGTCAAAAGCAAGCACAATGTACACATGTTTCTGATTATAGTCAAACAAAGCAACTCGAAGTTTGTTGAGGTCAGTAGCAAGAAATATTTACCATTTCAGATGTTAATATTAATGCTTTAACATAAAGATTATTGGAAGAAACAATCTGGAAAAAGGCATCTGAGAAGCCTATGAACATTCAATGTTTGCTGAGGACTCAAAATCTTAGTTGAAGTTTTTGACCAAGGGAAATTCATTTAATCACATCTTGAACAACTTTTTTCTGGCATGCTAAAATGTTTCTTTGTTAAACAGACCAAAAGTGTATCATATTTACTTTTTAAACTCTCTCAATGCAATTTGGCTGTCACTGACTGATGACGTCTTATTTTTTTTCTATTTTTCTATTTGCATTTTAGATGACTTGGGGTGCTTTTCCTTATCATGGATTTGCTGTTAGTCAACTTGAATTTATTTTATGGAAAAGAGGGATGTAAATTCAGTAAAATAAATATAGCATACATTGTAGTATAGCAAACTGCATTAAGGAAAAAAACAGCTTCTAAAACAAGTGACCTTTACTTTGAGAAGATTAATCTATTATAATGCCAGCACCTCAACAAATATACTCTTATCAGCTCAGTAATATCAGGCTATTTTACAGTTTTCCTTATATGCTCCTGGTTCTTCCCCCATCCACATATTTCCAGCAGACAGCTCAACTAGACCACACTAAATCAGCACACTACGCCCACACAAACACTTTATTCTTTCAAATAAGAATCAGAAGGAAAGCATTGCCTTCACTGAAAAGATGCAGCCTGATGGACTACAGATTTAAGAATACGTGTGTCCCCAAAGCAGCTTTTGGAATCATTGATCAACCTCTAGTGTTGCATGATTGGCTGCAGGATGTTCTGCCCCAGCTATAGGCCCCAAAGAACGCAGCACACACAAAGTCTGTACAAAATTTAATTTACTAAAATAACTCAATCTTTTTCAAACAAAGGCTATTAATAAACTTTCTTAACAGCCTACAAGAAACCAAAGATAAAGTAATCACAATCTTACTATGGTTGGCAGAAAGCCCAGAAGCAATTTGCAGAGAATCCAGACGCGAAGGAGAGTGAACTGAAGTTGTTCCCTACAAATTGCTTCAGTCGGCGTTCCTCCTTAAATAGGCTAAGGAAGTGGCCAATTAGCCCCAAGCCTTACTCTCGAGGAGACCTCCTCCTGAGGATCCACTCCTGCCTTTTGGCAGCTCTGTGCGCCCGTGCATCGAGAAGAGGCTCCTCCTCTTCATCCTCTTCACTTAAAGGAGCTTCTGGAGGTTCTGAAGGCCCTGGCTGAATCCCTGCCTCTGGCACCATATCTTCTCCAGCCTCCTCATTGTCTGATTCGAGTGCCAGCTGCAGAGGCTGCTGGCGCAGCACCACACCAGCCTCCTCATTGTCAGAATCAGCTACAATCTGCACAGGCCGCTGACGGGCCACAACACTGGATGAGCATATTCTCCAACATTCTTTGTTGGTAAACATACATTCAACACAAAAATAGTTTGTTGCAAAAGCAATTGCCTGCAAAGGCTCCTGGATTGGGGCTGAAAGGCAAAAACAGAAGCAGTATGCTCTGCCCCAGGGGTGAAATCCAGCAGGTTCTGACAGGTTCTGGAGAACTGGTAGTGGAAATTTTAAGCAGTTCAGAGAACTGGCAAATGCCACCTCTGGCTGGCCGCAGAGTAGGGTGGGAGTGGAGATTTTGCAGTATCCTTCCCTTGCCATACTCACCAAGCCACACCCACAGAATCGGTAGTAAAAAAATTTGGATTTCACCACTACTCTGCTCCATAATTGGGTAGATCAGGTTTCCATGATAGACCAGTACCACCAGAAAAAACACTTAATCTTTCCCCTAGTATAGCCAACAAAGCAAGGAGAACCTGTGGCTTAATAGTTAATTAGGCAAAGGTTCCCCTCACACATATGTGCTAGTCGTTCCTGACTCTAGGGGGCAGTGCTCATCTCCGTTTCAAAGCCGAAGAGCCAGCACTGTCCGAAGACGTCTCCATGGTCATGTGACTGGCATGACTAAATGGCAAAGATACATGGAAGGCTGTTACTTTCCCACCAAAGTGGTCCCTATTTTTCTACTTGCATTTTTTAAGTGCTTTCGAACTGCTAGGTTGGCAGAAGCTGGGACAAGTAACGGGAGCTCACCCTGTTACGCGGCACTAGAGATTCAAACCGCTTACCTTTCGATCGACAAGTTTAGCATCTTAGCCATTGAGCCACCACATCCCTTTTAGAGGTTAATACATCTACCTAATATGCAAGTAGCCTAGGTTCGAATCCCAGAAGTGTATGGCTAGCTGATGAGAGCTAAATAGCTTAAAATAGATCTATACTAGTCTCCCTTTATTTCTTTGTCAGTAAACAAAAATTCAACACGTTCTCTCTCCAACAGTTCATTTTTGCTCATGATGAGAAGTGAACTATGTAGGTGATAAGTTTAGTAGTGGTCCTGAATTAGACCCAGTTAGTCATGTTGATCTGCTGATTATTCAGACATCTCTACATCCATAGAATGTACAACTTGTATTCATCTCAAAGAAGATCTAGCTGCATTCAGAAATGATACCTCTTGTCCAGTTTATGTTTTTCTAATGGGGTGGGGGGGGGAAAAAATCATTACCCTCATCATTGCTAGTTTATTATTATTTCTTTAAAGCGGGTTCATGAAGGTCATCTTTCCAATTTTCCTAAAAACGAGGTGAACTTGGGATGCAGTTCAATCAGTGTCTGGAATTATCTTTGGGGAAATTTTGAGGGAAATTGGCTCCTTTTTTCTCTCTCTCTTTCACTATTAAGGCTGTTGAATGGGCACAGAGGGATGGGTATTTTATGCTTTCCAGCTATCACCTATTAGCAGGCACAGATTCCTTTCCTTATTCTCAGAAACTCTCATGTGAATAGAGACCAAAATGCACGAAAGAAATCTTTAACTAAGTCATTTTGTGACAAATGAGGAAGTTCTCACCTCCCCTAGTTTGGAGCTCGTGAAGGCAATCCATGAGGGGAAACCTGATATTCATGCAGTTGGGCTGGAGATGCAGGGGAGAAGGATGTTTCTAATAACCTTGAAGATAGGTTGGAGAAGGGTGCATGGAGCTTGAACTGAAAAAAAAAAACATCTATAGAGAACAATAAGTAAAAGCATGTCTTTTAATATATTTGAAAGCAGCAGTCAGAAGCAATACTTTTTTTTTACTATTTTTTTTTTTAAGGAACAGTGGAAAACTTACCCCCAAAAAGAAAAATTCTGCAAAAAGAATTCTGCTTTACTACCTTATTCTCAGATTCCTTTACGTCTTCCCCCCCCCACCCTTTCTTTCAGCTTTATTGTTGGAGATGGCAGAAGGTCCAACCATTTGTCTTTTTGTTTCTAGATATACATCTTTCCATGCTCTGAAGCTTCTCTGTAGGTTCACCATTTCCTCCTGATTCCTTCTGGGATTTAATCATGATATCATCTCAGGGCTGAGCCGAAGAATGGGAAGCCAAGGCTCCTGGAAAGAACACTGCAGAATGAGAGAGAATATTCATTCATACAAACACTTGGGCCGCTTTGTAATTAAATAAGTGCAGCAATCAATCGAAGAATTCTCTGCCTCTGAGTTGAAAGCAGATTTGAAAGCAGAACTGAAAACGAATGGCTAGAAAAGGACTGCAAGAGAACGGTTCTGCATGGCAGCATCACAATTCCATCTGTTCCAAATGCATCCACAGAGCCTTAGGAGCTGCTCAACTAAACTTTAAAATGCTGCAGTAGACATTTGTTTCCATCCAATTTTCCCAGCCCATTTAAAATGCTTTTGGAATTTCTAGCTGAAAACATGCTGCATAAATACACCGCTCCAGTCCTTCCAAGTCCAATTGCCCCTTTAGTCTCCTTCCGGTCCAATCTTAGGCCTCGAGTGGTCCATGAAGCAGATGTGCTGCAATGACAATTGCTTAAAAAAAAATATTTTAAAAGACGCTTCCCTCCCTCCCCCCCCCCCCCCGAGAACCAAAGGATGGTTTGTTTTATTAGCAGTCGATTTGCACAGCGGTGGCAATTCACTGTATCTCTCCAGAATTCTGAACATTATGTACTGTATGTGGAATCTTAACGCCGGCAACCAGCAATCCGTCCTCACTGACTTCCAAAATGAAAAGACTGTACTACCTTGTGTTGTGTGTGTGTGTTTTTTCTCCCTAGGCAGTCTTCGTGGGTTCTTATTAGATTAGTTGTAAATTCTGCAAAACGGAGAATACTTATAAAAGGCGCAGACAGCAGTCAAACATGTGATAAATTAGCTTCGAAATAATGGTGCTGATGATTGACAGAAGGTAAAAGGTTTCTGTCCTCCGGGAATAAAAGTCTTCGTAAGTAAGACAAAGTGCAGCAAGCAGGAGACGGCACTCTATACCTTTAGCTATAGGTTTGCTCCAGCAACGTATTCCATTAAAATTATAGCTGTAAATAAGTCAATTAGAAAGTACATATGGAGAAACTAGAGGGGAAGCAGAGCCCAGATTTCCTATAATCATTTCAATGCTTTTCCTATCTCACCTGTTATTATTCATCATTTAAAAAAAAAACTGTGTCACATTTACCACATGAAATTTTAAAATACAAATTAAAATAGGAATACCTAATACAGATAGTCTTCGTCTTACAAATATCCGTTTAGTGACCATTCAATGGCACTGAAAAAAGTGACTTATGACTGTTTTTCACACTAACGACTGTTGCAGCACCCCCATGTACACTTAGCAACTAGCATATATTTATGACAGTCAGAATGTCCCGGGATCATGTGATCTCCTTTTACGACATTCTGGCAAGCAAAGTCAATGAGGAAGCCAGATTGACTTAACAACCACGTTACTAACTTAACTGCAGTGATTCACTTAACAAGAAAGATCGTAAAATGGGGCAAAACTCATTTAACAACTGCCCTGCTTAGCGACAGAAATTTTGGGCTCAATTCTGGTCATAAGTCAAGGACTACCTGTTTGAGGATGCTGTCACAAATAAAATCTATGTAAAGAACTAAGATGTTTTTATTTTCTTTGCATCACACAACTTAGATATCAGCTATAGGAGCTGTAGCTTATATCTGGGTGTCAGCTATGGGTAAGCCTTCCCTTCCCTTGTGTTTCTTTTGTTATCAATTTTGAGGGTGGTGTTCTTATGTTCTATAGTTGTAGACTTGCTTCCAATTATACTGAGAAGGCAGCCCCTTTTCTATAGAACAGTTTGGAGCAAAATATATGGGTTGTTTATTATGCTTAAGGGGCAACCTTTCTAAAGGCATTGTGATCTGTTGGGAAAGAAAATGAAAGAATAAACCATTTCTTCTCAGAAAAATGTAACTAATAAATCAGGGCTGTAGAAGGTGGGGTTTTTGTTGTTGTTGTTGTTCACTTGTTGATTGCTTGGTTGCCCCCTTAGCTTTATGTATACCTTTTACAAATGATACAATTGTGCATGTTTTTCCATACATGTACACCACCTCATTATCATACATTTATTCTTGGGTGTTTTCCCTTGTTGACAAAAATGTTCTATATTTATCAAAAGAGGAAAACGCCTATAAAAACTCTTTAGTGCTGCTGAAATGTTGCACAACGGTCCTTTGAATTATTTTCCATAGGTCCACCATCTAGTCCAGGGGTCAGCAACCTGCGGCTCCGGAGCCACATGTGGCTCTTTGGGCCCTCTGCTGTGACTCCCTATCCAGTGATCCCACCATTGGATGGCCCCACTCCTCGCCCTCCCCTCCCAGTCACTTCTTGCCTGGCCTGAGAAGGTAAGGGCGACGGTGGGGGATGGAGAAGCGGCCAGGGCAGAGACAGAGAGATACAGAGAGAGAGGGAGAGAAAGGGAGGAAAGAGGGAGGGAGGGGAGAGAGAGAGATGTCAAAAGGATTTTGTGGTTCCCAGTGTTTTTTAACAACTGGTTCTCTGCCCTAATGACCAAATGGGTAGGCATGGCTAGAGGGGTCATGTGACTGGTGGAAGTGAGTGACATTGAGTTGGCCACGCCCACCCAGGTTTTGTGACTCCCAGTGTTTTCTTTTCTCTGGGAAACGGGTCCAAATGGCTCTTTGAGTATTTAAGGTTACAGACCCCTGATCTAGAAAAAGAGAGAAGAGCATTTCAGAAGCCCAGGCTTGGCTTGGTATATGATCAATAAAAGTGACACAAAAATATACATTTTCAAGGAAAAAATATTTTTGATTTCCATTTTCTTCAGAAGCCCATGTGATAAATTCTAGGAACCAGGATGGATGTTCTTAAACACCCATTCTGTTTTCAGTGAACAAGTGATGTGGGAAAGTAAGGAATGGTAAGATGGCTAGACTGTAGCACTTTTCCAATCTTTTGGCTCAGGTACAACCAGGTGTTTTAGTGTCATTTTTGCCAAAATTGCCAAGTGCTTGCTTGGGTCGATCGTTGTTTTACATCATCCTGGACATGATCCTCCAGGCATTGACATTCAATAATATCAATCACAGGATATCAATTGGAAGACCTGCAAGTGACAGCTTGTATTAGAAAATAATATGTTTAACTCCTCCTGTGCTCTTTGAAGTAACTTTCTAACAATAGTATTATTCCTATTGGGAATAATAAATGGGAAATACAGTAAAGGGGTAACTCACTTAATAATACATATTATAACAGCAGCAAGAATGGGTTTTGCCCAAAATTGGAAAAATAAGGAAACTCCTCTAGAAGATGAAGTGATCAAAAAAATTTTGACATGTGAGGAAATGGATAGATTAACCTTGGAATTGAAAAATAAAGGTGAGTCAGAATACCACGAGATATGGAACAAATTTTATCAATGGTTGGAATAGAAAAGAGGGTTGAAAAAAAAAAGAACTGACTATAATTCATAAAATGGAGAATTAAGGTTATGTATGTAACTATAATAGAATGATAATGGATAAAACAAATGTATAAGTAATATAGATAGAAGAAGGATGTCTTTATATATGTAAATACTGAACAGACTAATTGTATATAAGTAATAAGGTATATATGATACTTAGCTTTCATTTTAGCATGTATGGCAAAGAGAATGCCAGGACGATTACACCGTGTCCAATTTTTTAATATGTGTGTAATAAAACTTTAATAATAAAAAAAAAGAAGTAACTTTCTCTCTAAGGGTACTTGCCCTTGGCTCTGTTGCCATTCACTAGTCCCGCCAAAGAATTCTGAAGTCATGCAAGCATTAGATAATGTGAATAAGACTGTACTTCTGTAGCACTGAACAGAACAGGACAGAATAACAGAATTGGAAGGGACCTTGGAGGTCTTCTAGTCCAACCCCCTGCTCATGCAGGAGACCCTATACCATTCCAGACAAGTGACTGTACAGTCTCTTCTTAAAAGCCTCCAGAGATTGAACACCCACAACTTCAGAACACAATTTGTTCTACTTGTTAATTGTTCTCACTGTTAGGAAATTTCTCCTTAGTTCTAGGTTGCTTCTCTCATTGATTATTTTCCATCCATTGTTTCTTGTCTTGTCTTCTGGTGCTTTGGAAATCAGGTTACCCCCCCCCTTTTTGTGGCAGCCCCTCAAATATTGGATCACTGCTATCATGTCAACCCTAATCCTTCCTTTCACTAGACTCTTGGAAGCCAGAAAGGTTTTTAAGAACTAACATGTGGTCTCCCACTTAAAATTAAAAATAACTACTATCACTCTAGTTGTCCTAAAGAAACTTAAGACTTTGCATGGGGAACCTGTACAAGAACCTTCTAAGAGGCCATTATGAGGCCACTACACTATCAAGATGATGAGGGAAGAATGCTTCGAAAATCTCACATCCATAATAGTTTAAGGTTAGTTTCATATCAAGGTCACAAGAGGATAAGGCTTCATTCCCATTGTGCCAAAATAAATATATCTTTCCCTCAATGTTTTGCCCTCAAAACATTTTTATTCCAGCAGGCTGGTCTGGCTTGACTCTCCCTTTTAATTTGCTTTTAAGTTTTATACAAATTGGGTGTTTTTAAATTTGTTTTTTGGGCCAAAATTATTTAATGTACTTTTAAATGGTTTTTAACTTTTGTATGATGTATTTTTATCTTGTGGCTGTTCACCGCCCTGAGTCCTTTGGGAGTAGGGCGGTATATAAATAAAATAAAATAAATAAATAATAAATAAAATTTCAAGGCTGTAAAATGTGATGCTACTTTGAGGAAAAATATAGTCACCAATCTACTAGCATTAGAAAACATATTGGCTCCAATTTTTAGTGTGGACTGAGAAGTTAGACACCGAAGTAGAGTTAAGCTGAATTACACCAAAGATTTATCCAGTCCAGCATCTTAGTCCCCAAGCAGAACAGAGTGAAAACCTCTGAGCTCTTGAATTAAGAGCCAGAATATGAAGGGCAAAGCTGTCTAGTGTTATCCAGATGTTTTGGACTGAGAAGCCCCAGGTGGACCTCTCAATAATCAGGCATTTTGGAGATTCTCATCCAAAGGATCCTATTGCTGATTCCTCATTTATAGCTTTCTGGGCCAAAAATGGTCTACTTCCTCATTGAAGTCTTTTACGCTCACAGTTTGATAACTTTGGTAGCAGTGAATTAAAATGAATATGGAAAACCTCAGATCCTTTTCTTGATGGCAGCTTTGTAATTGAAAATAATGTATTTAGTCAGCTCAGTAACAAATGCACTTATGTTTACATCTGTCTAAGTTAGAAATCCTATGATTCCAAGCAGATTTGTTGTTGTTGTTTTTTTAAAGCATTATCTGTAGCCTGGATTTTAGACTCAGATATGTCTAAAACAAAGAAAGTTACAATAATGAATAATGATTTTAAATATAATCCTTTTCACTGAGGATATCCTCTTTATATCATTGGACAGAACATTATCTGGACAATCATTTGGTCAGTCAGGAAATTTTGTGGTCTAACAGTTAGGGTTAGTTTGGTGTAGTGGTTAAGACATCGGGCTAGAAACTGGAAGTCCATGAGTTCTAATCCTGCCGTGGACATGAAGCCAACTGGGATGATGGTGGGCCACTTACTTTCTCTCAGTCCTAGGAAGGAGGCAATAGCAAACCACTTATGACAAACTTTGCCAAGAAAGCCACAGAGATTGGCCATGCAGTCATGAGGAGTCAACATTGATTTGATGACCCTGCCCTCCAAAAAGACTAGCTATTTTGAAAAAAAGCCGAGGATACCCTGATGTCATGCTACCCGCACAGTGAATGGTGGCGGTATTAACATGTCTTTTGTTTTAGTTTGACAGATGAATAAAAACAAAGCTGGGGTGTGAGTTTCCGTGTTGTAACCCTGGAGGGGTACAGTCTTTGGTAATATCAAGAGAACATCTCTGTAAAAGTAACAGGCTTTAAAGAGTAAGATAGCTCATTAGTGACAAATTTCAATACAGCAGAGGAATTGGTCAGCACAATTAGGAAGCCTAATCTATCCAGATTATAGTGAGACTGGGAATGAAATGAATGCTATATCTCATTCATGTGAATCATATTGCATCTTCTGGGTTCATTTTAATCCATCCCATCTGCAGGGTTGATGCTGATCCTGTTCCAATATCATTTCTCTGGTGAAGTTGTTCTTCCTAGGCAAATGAGCTGATTTTCTTCATGCTCAAGCATGACACAGTTCAAACAACAATACCTCTCTTTTGTGATTTGCAGTTCTGGAGCTCTGCAGGGTTTGGGAGCATCCAATTGCCTGTTCGTGGAAGCTCTTGCCTCTTACCACCCTTGCTATTCTGAACTCGGCTCTTCCTACATTTTAATGATAGTCTTATCAGTGATCCGGTTTGGTCTAGCAGTTAAGGATAACACTAGAAACTGGGAATCTGGGAGTTTTAGTCTGGCTTTAGGCATGAAATGTGGCTGGGTGACTTTGAGCCACCCATCTTTCAGCCCAATCCGCCTTAGAGGGTTGTTGTTGTGGGGAAAATAGGAGGAAGAAGGAGTATTGTTTGTCACCTTGAGCTATTTATAAAAATAATAAAGGTGGGATAAAAATAAGATAAATAAATACAGTAATCTGTGCAGTTAATTTCTAACCCATTTCACAATTCCTGCTGAAAATAAGCTCCCAGACCCTGCTGGTTTGATTTTTCCCTGCTGATATAAGAACTGAAGATGTGTTTCCTAATGCCTCCTGACCTTAGAACTTAAATGAGCCTTTATTCTCCTCCTCCTCCTCTTCTTCTCTCTTATCCACATGCAAGTGTGACCCCACACACACACACACAAACACAGAAAGAAACTCTTCACTGCCCACTGCAATCTACAATCTTGCTTGCAGCTATTGGGAAAAGCACCTGATTGCAATCAATAGGGTCATGCCACCTCTAAAGCTTTCAGGGGGAATTTATATGCAGAAAATACTTAGGTCTTTGGGGTCAGGTAGTTTCCCTCTCATACTAACACTTGCAAAACACATAGATAACTATAAAGGCATTACATTAAGGTATTTTTCCCCATCAGGGGAGGGAAGTAGTTTGTTTGCTTGTTACTCCAGGTGCTACCAGAACAGGGATGTTCAACTTTGGCAATTTTAAGACCTGTGGAGTGCAACTACCAGAATTCCCCAGTCAGCATGCACAGGTCTTTAAGTTGCCAAAGTTGGACATCCCTGCACCAGGGTGTAGAGCACTATCTAGAACAGTGATGATGAACCTTTTGGACTTGGCATATCAAAAATTCAGAAAATGCCTATTTTGACTCTGCTGGTATATCACCAACCCCTTCTTCCCCTGACAAAAAAAAAAACAATTCATGACAAAGAGTAATAAATTTAATTAAATTATTTAAAATTCTTATTTAATAAACAAACAAACACATAGGGACATAATTGTAAATATTTTTCAAAATGCCTACCTGAGGCAGCTCCAGGTTACATGAGGCCTGGAAAACTTGGAGAATGCTCTTGTAGGACTTTGCAGCCTCTTAAAAGACAGGGGAAAGCATATCTTGCCCTTACATGAGGCTCCAGAGGCCAAGTGAAAAATAGGGCCCTCTCACAGGACTTCCAGAAGGTCTGGAGGCCTGGCATGTCCCCCGTGACATGCATACAGTATCACAGGTATGGCATCATTGGTCTAGATTTATTTATTACATTTGTATGCCACCCATCTTCCCTACAAGGTGACTCACAAGTTATAAAACAAGTAAAAATAATTAAACATTGAGATGTTAAAACTACATAGATTAAAGTATTAGTAATATTTTAAATATTATTATAATATTTATAAAATATTATTAATTTATAAAATATTACAACTTTTGCAGTCTTGTTGCTTATCTGGAGGAAACCATGATGGACTCATGCTGATGGATTCATGGTGTCCTCTGCTTCTGCACAACATCTCCAGACCTGGGGGGGAAGGATGATGAACAATTAATCAGCAGAACAAGAACCAATGGATGGAAACTAATCAAGGAGAGAAGCAATCTAGAAGTAAGGAAAAATTTCCTGTCAGTGGGAACAATCAATCAGTGGAACAACTTGCCTTCAGAAGTTTGTGGGTGCCCCATCACTAAAAGTTTTTAAGAAGAGATTGGACAACCATTTGTTTGGAATGGTATAGGGTCTCCTGCTTGATCATGTGGTTGGACTAGAAGACCACCAAGTTCCCTTCCAACTCTGTTATTCTGTTCTGTTCTGTCCTGTTCTGTTCAGAGCTACAGAAGTATAGCCTTATTCACATGATCTGCTTGCCCACTGACTATTTCTTGACAACAGAAATAGACATTATCCTTTACCCATATTCAGCCCATTGAGTGGCAGTCTCTGTCCATGTTTTTCTGGTATAAATCAAAAATAGCCAGTATGTGCCACTTCCAGTGGTACTGTCTGGTTCAAACGATTGTACTTCATTTCTCTGTAGTCAAATGCCTCCAGTCCAACTGAGCCATCTGTCAGGGATACCCCTTTCTGCTTGTCACAGATCACTCTCCTAGACAACCTTCTTCTTCTTCTTCTTTTTTTTAACGGGTTCACTACTGGATCAGTGAAAAGCTGGGTTTCTTTTATGTCAACAAGTTCCTGGCTACTTTTTTTACCAGGTAAAATTCACAAGGGTTGTATTTTCCTCCTGTAGTTCAAATAACAAGAATTTTTCTTTT